TATCCTGTGGACTGGACTGAATTGAATCGCATTGAGTCTGAACTTGCTTCTTCTTGGGCAGCAGAAGAGAAATATTGGAGACAACGGTCACGGTGCCAGTGGTTGACTGAGGGTGATCAGAACTCAGGCTATTTTCATGCTGTTACGCGTGCGAAGCGTCGCCGAAATAGGATTGAAGGGATTTTTAACATGGCTGGCCAATGGATTACGGATGAGGATGGTAAACATTCTGTTCTTGTGGATTATTATAAGAATCTATTTTCCTCTGATGTTTTGGATGATGGTTTTGCGGCAAGAGTAGCTGCAAGAGTGAATAGTTTGCCCATAGCTCGATTGGTGACAGGGAGTATGAATGAGGCCCTCATTGCCCCTGTTACTCCAACTGAAATTAAGGAGACTATCTTTCACATGGGTGCTACTAAGACTCCTGGTTCGGATGGGTTTACGGGTTGCTTTTTTCGTTCTTTTTGGCATATAGTTGGAGATAGTGTTGTCAAGGCTATCTCTTCTTTTTTCACTACGGGAAAGCTCCTGAAGAATTTTAACCATACCTGGTTAACTTTAATCCCCAAAGTTGATGTGGTTGAACAAGTCTCCCAGTTACGGCCCATCAGTTTGTGTCAATTCTTGTATAAAGTCATCACCAAGATTATGGCTTCTCGGCTAGGTCGAATTTTACCTCAACTTGTTTCCCCGGAGCAAAATGGATTTGTTCAGGAGCGTCAGATCGTTGACAATGTTCTTATTGCCCATGAACTGATGCATTACATTAAGCATAAACGGCTTGGTCGAGCCAAGTACATGGCACTTAAGCTAGATATGGAGAAAGCGTATGATCGCATTGAATGGCCCTTCCTTTTTGCTATTCTTCGGAAACTTGGTTTTTCTTCTGATTGGATTAATTGAGTTAAAGAGTGCGTTTGTACGGCCACTTTTTCCATTCTGGTCAACGGTACTCCGGCTGGTTATTTTTCGTCGACTAGGGGCCTCCGTCAAGGGGATCCGCTTTCCCCGCTTCTGTTTGCTCTTTGTACAGAGGGTTTTACCGCCATGATCAAAGAGAAGATAAGTTCTAAGGAATTGCAAGGTGTACGTGTTTCGCCATCAGCTCCTGCAGTCTCTCATTTGCTGTTTGCCGATGATTCTTTTCTCTTTCTTCGTGCTTCTCGTCGTGAATGTCAGCTTCTTATGGCTCTTCTTCGTGAGTACGAAGGAATCAGTGGTCAACGGTTGAATTTAGCAAAATCTGCTGCTTTTTTCAGTCCTAATTTGGATTCCTCTGTTCAGAGTGAGCTAGGCTCGTTGCTTGGGGTTGGTTCTATTGGCCTCCTTGATCGGTATCTGGGTCTTCCTTCACTTGTTCAGCGATCGAAAAAGGAAACTTTTAGGTTCGTGGAGGAGAAGCTCATGTCTGTTTTGCAGGGTTGGAAAATCAGGACTCTATCTATTGCTGCGAGGGAAGTGTTACTTAAATCTGTGGCTGCCGCTCTTCCTATATATACTATGTCTTGCTTTTGGTTACCTGCAGATCTCATCCGTCGCATGAATGCCCATATGGCTCGTTTCTGGTGGGGAGCGGTTCAAGGTCAGCGTCGAGTTCATTGGATAGCATGGAAATCTCTTTGTGGCAGTAAACATGAAGGCGGATTGGGATTCCGTGATTTTGGGTGCTTCAATCAGGCGTTATTGGCTAAAGTTGCATGGCGTATCCTCACTGAGCCATCCTCTCTTTTGGCTCGTATTCTTAAAGGGCGGTATTTTGTTGGTCATCATAATTTGCTGGATGCCTCGTGTGGCTCAAATCCATCGTGGGGCTGGCGAAGTATCCTCCATGGTCGAGATTTACTATCTCGTGGGTTGCGTTGGCAGGTAGGTAATGGTTTTTCCATACGGGTGTTTGAAGATGCTTGGTTACCCACGTCTCCGCCATCGATTCCTTCTCGTAGACCTGGTGCCCCTGCTTCTTCCCCGTTTGTTTCGGCGTTGATTGACCCAGGGTCTTGCACTTGGAATATGGCAGCCTTGCGTCTGTTTTTCAATCCTGATACTGTCAAGCTCATCTCTTCAATTCCTCTTCCGCAAATCCAAATCCCGGATAAGTTGATTTGGCATTTTGAGCCATCAGGTATTTTCCAGGTTCGGTCAGCTTATCATCTTGCTTTTCAATGCTATCGTTCTGGAGTTGGTAGGCCTCGTGTAAATCAAATGGATCATGATATGTGGCTTTGGTTGTGGAATTTGAAATTGCCACCAAAGCTTAAATTTTTTGTTTGGCAATGTCTTAATCGGATACTGCCAGCTAGGGAGGCCTTATCTCTCCGGGGTCTTGATTTAATCCCGATTTGTCCGGTTTGTGGTCGGAAGGTGGAGTCGTTAGAACATCTGTTTTTTAATTGTTCTGTTGCCCGAAAATTGTGGAGCTTGGTTGGTTTTCGTTCTCAGCTTGCAGAATGGGATAAGCGTTCTTTTGCAGGTATGGTTCGGGAGGTGCTTTTTCATAAGAACGGGAGGGTGGATAATTCGTATTTTATCCTGCAAGTTATAGCCATGTTTTGGCGTATTTGGAAGAACAGGTGTATGGTTGTTTTTGATCAGCAACAGGTCTGCTTGGAGTCAAGGGCGGCGGAGTGGCGTCATCAGGTGAATGAAATTGAGTCTTCTTTCTTGTCCGCATCTCTTTCCCCGGCCATCCAGCTTCGATCTTCTGTTCCTACAGGATCAGCGTTTCCGCATGATGGTCATCAATTCCATGCTTCTTTCGACGGCGCCACTGGGAGGGGGGATGCAGGTGCGGCAGCGTATGTGATTGGGGACGGTTCGTCTGCTGCAGGGATGATGTTTCCAATTGCAGCTGCGGCAACCATTTATGCAGGGATCAACGATGCTCATGTTTTGGAGACCCTGGCTCTTCGGGATTGTCTCAAGGAATGCAGCACAAGACAGCTCACATCGCTTCTTATTACGGGCGACGCGAAGGTTATCCTGGATAAATGTTTGGCAGGGGATTTCAATGATTCTAAAGTTGGCGCAATTTTGCGTGAGATCCAAGCCTTGTTGGCTGGTTTTGGGGGGTATTGTGATCTACGTTTCGTAGGTCGTCATAGGAACAGGGAGGCTCATTTAGTGGCCAAAAAGTCTCTGAGTTTGTCGCCTCGGGTCCTGTCGAGGTTCGACTATGTGTCTTGGTTACGTAGTTTGTAATTGACGGTGTGTGGATCTTATCTCCATCTCGTTTGAGATCGGTTGAATGGCAAAAAAAAAAGTATTATATTAGAAGACAATTTTTTCGACACAAAAATTAAAAGGAAACTTGTAATTAATCCAGGAACAACGATTTTTATAGTGTCTAAGGTCTCTCATTCGTTTTTTGAAGTGGTCCTTCCAACAACAGTAGCGCTCTCGAGGGTTTAATTATCATGCGGGGTTAACTGCCTGAGTAGTTGCCCTGTTTGTTGGAGGTTCCAAGAAAGTACAAAACATCTGTTTTTTCATTCCTCCTTGACATCCAGCTATGGTATTTTGTGGGATTAAGTGATATACTGAACTCGGCCCCAAGAATTAATTTTAGTTTGTGGTGGCGTTAAATAATGCTAGATGAGCAGTCCCAAACCCATATTCTCCATATAGTGTGCCTCTTGTGGAGAATATGGAAATCAAGAAATAAAGTGGTATTTTAAAATACCCAGCCTAATGTCCGTTCGTTAGCCTGCCAATTCTCTTTTCAAATCCGCGAAGTGCTCTCTACCCAGCCTGGCCCGCCTCACATTGCTCGTGCTCCTGCCTCTGCTAGACCTCTTCTTTGGGAATGCCCTCCTCAAGACTTTTTGAAGATCAACTTTGATGTTGCTCTCCAAATCGGTGGTTCCTCGCCTGGCCTTGTATCCGCGGTTCGGATGGGCATGTGCTTCTTGCCGTGGGTGCTCAGCATTATGGTATATCGGATCCTTATCTTGCAGAAATCCTTGCAGCCAGGGATGCGATCTCTCTTGCAACTTCTAGAAGTTTGTTTCCGCTCATCATCGAGGCGATGCAGAAGTGGTCATCCATCAGCTCAAACTCGGTCTGTGGAGGATTCGATTGGTGGCCCTATCCTTCGAGATTGTTGTTGTCTTCTTGAGTCTCGTTCTCTTTGTATAGATTTTAGAGCAGTTCTGCGGACTGTCAACTGGGCTGCTCATAGAGTGGCACGTAAAGCCCTGCTGCTGTCCTGGGTAGAGTTAGTTTCTTTTGACTTTGTTGGTTGGCTTGTTAGTGGGACGAGAAGGGGTTGTGGGTAGTGGTTCTTTCTAACTATGTATTTGATATTTCTCGGGCAAAAAAAAAGTCTTTGATTTTTCCCCGTTAATCTTTAACGAACGATTTTTCACTCGTTTTAAGTTAGAATTTAATTTTTTTTTTTGCACTTAGATAAGATTAATTGTGCTCTTCAAAATGATATCCACTTTTATATATATTTGGAACAGAAAAAAAAAATTGAGCTATTTTTTACCAGTCTATACCATATGGTATGACTGGTATTGAAATAAGAGCATATCATATTGTATAAAGCGTACCATGGTAGTATTAACATACCAAAACTGCAGGATGGTTGAATACATGATAGTAGGAGTGTCATTTACGACTTTCAGCATTGTTTACCAGGGGTGGTATTGTGTGGTACTTTTTGGTCCTGTATTTTGTTCACCTAGAAATTTGTAGGTCCAATGAATCATATGATGAACTCGTTCCTTCTGTGCAAAAATTTTCAAAACGACTTAAAAACGAAGAAAATATCATATGGTATGCAGTTGGTAACAAGAGGAATGAGATTTTTTCTCTCAAAATATTGAACATGGATCTAATTTTGTAGAGCACAACAAACTCGTTCAATCAATGAAAAAAAAATTAAAATCCAAGTTAAAATGAAGAAAATATGAGCCGATTAAAAAAATAAAGGTAAAAAATATCTTTAGTTCTCGGTTCTTAGATCTAAATTTTTTGAGTCAACTTAAAAGCAAGGGTGTAGATATAGTTACTAATGGATGTCTGGGGCCGGCAAAAATAAATACTACCAAACAATCCTTGATAGATTGATGACGCAATTTTGGGTCCATTTACGGCCTCTTCCACGCAAAAAAGGAACTAGATAAGACTCAAGGGGCCCTGAATATAACACTGAAGAGCTACTGACAAAAAATGTACACTTCTCAACCGAGTCTCTTTACACCCACAGGTCACTCGTGGTGTGACAAGAGAAGGCGCTCTGGTTCTGGTACAACACTGGAATAAAGCAGCAGCAATGCTACATGTACTCCCCAGAAACAACTACATAAATATCACAGTATTCCTAAACCTAGAGAAGGACAATCAACACCTCAAAATATCTGATTCTTCCCAATAATTGAAAGAGAGCCCATAGGAAAGTACTCTTCAACAATTCTACTGTTTGGCCTTCCTGTCGTTTCTAGTTCTCTTCCTCCATTCCCTGCTCTCTGTTGGATACTGCTTCTTAATCAACAAATTGCACATTGCAGTTTTTATAGCTTCAGCAGCGGCTGAGAAAACACTCTGGTCGATTGACAAGCTTCCCTGCAACTTCTCGAGCAGCTTCTGGCTGCCCGGAATTTCTTCATCTCCCAAAACAACGGGCTTGTGTTGATCAGGAGACTCGGGATGGCCTTTTTTCCTGAGACCACTAACAACCTTCAAACGAGCCAGAGACTTGTGGTCAGCATCACGCAGTTTAGAGATGCCTGTTACAAACCACAATAATTCTCCAGCAGAACTACTTCCCATGCTTGTGGGGATGAAATTCTCTTCTGTTATAGAAACCACCTATATGAATAAGAAACATCAAAATGATTATGTTTCCAAAAGATAAAAAAATAATACACATCCGAGGGAAAAGTACTCTTCCACCTGAATGCCTATGCAAGTCGATGTTCAAGTTTTTACCACTTTTTGGCTAAGAGTTCCCCCGAATCTCATTAGAAGGTGAAATCAATTGCAGACATGCTTAGTATGGCTAATATGCTTGAATGGAAGTGTTCAGCTCAAGCTCACACCATTGGATTGCATGTGTTGCCGTTATTTACAACAATGCCACAACACTGATTGAACGGCTGAAACACTGAGAAGGCAACCAAACGGCACAAGCACAACTGAACGGTCCCATTGAGCTTAACAGCAAAAATCTTAGCAAGCATTGCAGTCATTTCACCTTTTAAAGAGATTCGTGAGAACTTTTTGCCAGTGACTAGAACGTTAAATAACATATGCATTCAGGTGCACAATATTGGTGTGAATAATCAGTCGTTACCTTGGCGACACTTAATGTTTTAGAAGAGAAGTCACAGCCCAGCAAAATTATTTCTTGCAAGCTAAAATGGTGAACAAATCAACTGTCAGCTGAAGCACTAACTCATGAACTGAAGAAAAGTTCAAATAACATAGAGCAGAAGTTTCTAGTGATTTGATACTTACCCTTGAATGGCTACTGCAACAAAATTACTATCCTGGATTGCACACAAATCCGTGACAGCACAGCAGCTCTCCCCGCTACCGTCGGACTCTGAAAGTGCTGCCTTCAGAAAACAATGAGATAAGAATTAAGAAAAGATAGCAGGTCAAAAGAAAAGCCAAAAGATTTGATTTTTCTGGAATATCATTCTCCTACATTTGATATCATTAGGAAGAAAACCACTCAGAGTGGCTAAAATTATGTGTCTTACTGGTGAATTAACCCAAATTCTTCCTAGACCTGATATTACTCAATTGTGCAACTAGATTAAAGCAGATCAAAATTTTTGCATGAGGTTCCACTGAAGAACCATTTATAAGTTAAAAATGCCACAAAGAATACTGGGGAAAACTATTTCAAAGAGAAGGTACCTGTGAGCCTACTTCACAGGTATCAAGTAGTGATCCCGAAGTAATATCCCATAGGCGAACCTGTGGAGTTAAAGCATATAACAAGTCACTCCAAAATTTTAAATGTCACATTTGAACTAAAAAAAGGAGAGATTATGAATAGCAAATCTACGTAGCTAGTAGGATGGAAGCTTACCGTGGAATCACCGCTACCGGAAAGAAGAAACCCTTGGGGCAGATCCTTACTGCAAATAAAAGCAAGGCTGGAAACAAACCTGAAATTCAAAATAGTAGATGACTGCATCAGCCTCATTTTTAAGTTGTAAATGGTATATCCAGAAAAAGGAAGTTTTTTTCCTAATATTAAATTAAATATGATATGCAACCAGATATTAAATGCTACCGTCGTTCCCCATCAACTAATAAGTCAAAGCAACGTGTAAACCAAACAGGAAGTAAAATAATAACTCACTCACTGTGTATGACCAAGGCAAAAGCTTTGTATTTCATGAGCCCCTTCCAAAGGCTTCTTCGGAAACACAGAAACCTGCAATGAAGCACAAGACAAGGTGTTGATTTTCAAACTAGGCAACCTTTTCTTTTCTGTGAATAACTAGAAACCCTTTTGGTTTAAACCACACAAGGAAGACAATTACACGGATTTTAAAATCTCGGTCTGCACTAACTATAAAGCATCCGTCCGGTGAAAATTCCTGCACATAAGTAGAGAGTAATGAAGGTTTAGCTCATTAGTAAAATAGTACATCTAAGATACCGAGAATAAAGATTCACTAAAAAATAACAAACCAGTCTAGTAATGATGCTGCAATAATGAGCAAGTAAAGGTGCCGCCTTCCTATTGGAGAGAGCTCCATTGACATCAAGGTCATGGATATCTACAACCCAGACAACTCCAAATTTGTCAGCAAAGCACACATACAGCCCATCGTTGCTTATGGAAACTGCACTCACTCTCTTCTCGGAGGACCTGTTGCATTAATCAAGTGTTAGAGAACATTTTAAGCCTAGATATACTATAGCCAACATGAGGAAATGGAAATTAGACAACAGCATATACAACAATATATACGAGTTTATTTTCAGTGCACACTGTTTTGGGGGGATTTATGTAGGGGTGGGCAACGGGAAACGGGTATTTGGGTATACCCGTACCCGTCCCGTTTTTTAAGGGTTACGGGTACCCATATTACCCGTAATATTATAAACGGATGAGACTTGGGATTGTACATTCCTAATATGGGTACCCGCGGGTTACCCGCGAATACCCGTTTGGGTAATATGGGTACCCGTTATACCCATTCAATACAAATGCAGAAATTTAATTCAGCCCAACCCAATTCAAAACCCATTGGCCATTTCGGCCCTTACCCTTTCAATTTCAATTCCATTTGGGCCCTTACCCTTTCACTCTTTCACTGACATGTTTGGTGAATTAGTAGATAGAGTTGGGATGTGTTGAATGAAACTTTTTTTTTTTTGATAATTTGGTACTTGGAATGATTTATTTCTATGTGTTGTGATTGTTCATGAATGTGTAATTTGCAAACCAAGTATTTGTGATTGGGATGTATTTTGTGTCTTGTGATTGTTAAGCAAATACAAGTTAAGTTAAAACTTTTGTTAAAATTTTAGTGGTTTAAACTTTGGCTATTTATGGGTAGTATGGGTACCCGTTATCCGTCCCGTACGGGTAATGGGTACCCGTTTTCCATATAGGTTTGGGATATGGGATGAACTTTGGTCTCCAAATGGGACTGGGTACCCGTTTAAAACGGGACGGGTATCCCGTCCCGTCCCGTTGCCCACCCCTAGATTTATGCACCCGCCACAATCATCAATTCGATCATGCAATTCAAGTCAAAACGATGCCAATTGTCACTAGCGATACGATGGACAAGAAAATGCATTAATTTGCACAAAAAGCATTCAAGATTTATTTTGATTTAAAGGTTTATGGATTTAGGGTTTAGGATTTATAATTTAGAATATAGGGTTTATAATTTAGGGCTTAGGGAAATGCATGAACAGTTGTGATTCTATGTTAAACCATCATATTAGACTAATGCTCTCAATTAATATTCAAAATTCAATGTTTTCAGATTATTTTTAGGATTGGGCGCATAGTATGCACTCATTTTTGTGAGTGCACCATAGAAACCAAGACACCTATGTATATTGAAGCAAGGAAACAATGCCAACTCCAAGTGATCACAATAACATCTGGGGCATAGCATCTCAGTAAGCACCTTTATTTGTTCTGTCTTGACTCTTGAGTACAAACACAATATATTAGCTAGGCTAATATCAAGTTATACAGAAAATTTGAAAACTCAATAACCCTTGAGATTACTACACTCATATTACACAGACAAATAAATACATAAAAAATTATCACAACAATTGGAACTCGTTAAGAGCCTTAAAACAACTAAGCCAATGAACTTACACAGAACTGATGCAGCGCCAAGTGTCAGTGGACCAAATCTTAACAAGCTTATCATCACCAGCAGACACAAAGAGCTTCCCATTTGCACTGTAGCGAATAGCTCTCACAGAATCTTTATGGAAGGGTTCTACAGAATCATCTACCAGAGAAACCCCACAATCCGTCCTGAACAGAATGCAGACAAGGAGTATGATTATTTCACCAGCTCAATGGCGGTACAAACTTCTTTAATATTACAAAGAAGGAACATACCCTATACATTCTCGTCTGTTCCAGGATATTACTTAGCACAGAAGACAGCCCAGTTTGATTGAACAAAGACTTCACCTTGGTATTCAAGGTGAAGTAATTTGTAAACATAAGCTATGAGAGTTCCCACCACCAGGTACACTTGCAGTGATTAAGAAACATCATACACGGATTCACCCCACTCCTAGATGGGTTTCTCACTAATTGCAGGTTAAACAAATCCACATAGCCTTACAACACAAGTTAAACGCTCGTTACAATTGCCAAAAGAGCAAATCGTGCCTAAGTTTCTTTAAGTAGTGTTGCTTACTGAGTTAGAGCAAGGAAAGCAACACGGATATTAGAGACTAAATTCTTACCTGAGGTCGAACACGCGGAGGTCAGAACCGACGGCGACGGCAACCGAATCCTGGGTAGGGTGAACAGCTATTAAGGCAGGCGCAATTTCTATCTCTCGGTTATTTTCTCCGCCTTCCAAGTGAGAGTCTTCCTCCATTTTTGGGCTCTCCTTGACAGTTACCAGCAATCGGTAACAGTTGGTTTTTTCAATTTCTAGGGTTTTAAGGTTGCCGGCTGCCTCTCGTTCGTCGATGGAGGTTTTCGTCCCGGGAAAGGGTTTAAAGAAAGAGCACGCTTAGAAGTTTGAATTTGAGTTCTCTGGCCCATAAGATAGCCAATGGCCGGAAACGTCTCCAATGGCAGAGCTGGGCCTAAATGCGCGTAGCCCAATGGAGTTACGAGTCTGTATCGTCAATTGTATTTGATAACACCCTAGTCTGGCCCGAGCGCTATTTTTACTAAAATATTATGGCTTAATTGCAAGTTTGGTCACCCGAATTGTTTAAAAATTTCACGTTTGCCACCCGAATTGATTTATTCCATTTATAGTCACTCGAATTAGTTGAACAGTCCAAGTTCGGTCACTCTCCGTTAACCTCCGTTAGACTCCGTTAATGACGACAGTTAAGTGATGACGTGGCTAACAGAAAGACACAGTCAGCACATTTAAACATTAAAAAACGACGACCCGACCCGCCAGCTCAGCCTTACCCGCCCAGTCAGCCATTCTTGCCCAACCCGTGAACCAACCGAATTAATTGACCCTAAACCCAAACCCGAGACCCAACCCCCCGAAATATGGATCCGAACAAGAGTAACAAGAGACCCAGCCAAATTGAACATGAGTAAAGATGAACAGAGGCAGCAGCTTAAATTATAAGTCAATATAATATCAACATACAATGAATATATAGATCAATGGATCTGATACAATGGAAAACCCCCAGCTAACACAAGATCCAATATGGATCCGAACCCACAAACCAAAACCCGGAACAAGAAAAAAAAAGAGGCGAAGTGAGAAAACAGAGGAATCAAGAAACAGGGGAGAAGGAAGCACAGACAAATTCACAAGCTCAAAGAGACCAAAAAAAGGGTAAACTCTCTACATCTTCAACAAGCCCATCAGAGACACAACCACGGAGACGGCAACGAAGGCGCCGGAAGCTGGGACGGAGAACCCAGCGCCAGTGACCAGCGACGGCGATTGAGCAGGGGCCATTTCCTGGGCGGAGACAATGGCGGCCATGGATGCGACCAGCAGGAACACGGAGAGGGCAGCTGCCTTTGAGAAGCTTACTTGGGCCATTGCTGCTGGATTAAGAGAAGAAAATGGAGAAATTGATCTGAAGAGCTGTGGGCTTGGAGGAGCTTCTGGTTGCAATATGGGGAAAACAGCAGCGCGCGAAGAAGAAGAATCGCGGCGGAGGAAGAACAGACGCGGGAGGGGTGAGGGATTCAAGGCGGCGGCGCGGCGGCGGCCTCCATCCCTTCGACGGTGATTTTCGATGGTGTGCAAAGAGAGAGGCGGCGCGGGAGGATGAGAGGATGAAGATGGAGGAAGGAAAATGCCCTAATCCATCTGCGATTTACTTTTTAGGGGAGTTGGGTCTCGGGTTTGGGTTTAGGGTCAATTAATTGGGTTGGTTCGCGGGTTGGGCAAGAATGGCTGACTGGGCGGGTAAGGCTGAGCTGGCGGGTCGGGTCGGGTCGTCGTTTTTTAATGTTTAAATGTGCTGACTGTGTCTTTCTGTTAGCCACGTCATCACTTAACGGTCGTCATTAACGGAGTCTAACGAAGGTTAACGGAGAGTGACCGAACTTGGACTGTTCAACTAATTCGAGTGACTATAAATGGAATAAATCAATTCGGGTGGCAAACGTGAAATTTTTAAGCAATTCGGGTGACCAAACTTGCAATTAAGCCAAAATATTATTGTTAAATCGTCAATTTATCTATAAAATATATAAAGGCAAAACATGTGTTATATTTTCAGGATTTTGAATTTCTAGACTTGTGAGGGTTTTACGGAATGGTAATTTGGACAATTTGCATTTCAACTTAACCAAACTTTGTGTTTAGATTTCTTTCCCATTAATCCTCCTTTTTGTTGCTGCCAATTACTGGGCCTAATATATGTAACTTCAAATGGGCCCGGACTGATGGGTCATCAGTCTTTGTCTACCTTCCCTCCAAACTGCAATTTTCAGATGTGACTCAATTAGGGATGGCAACAAAATCCGAACCCACGGGTACCCGACCCAACCCGCGTTGACGGGTTTCGAGCTAGGTTTGGGTTTAAACTCGTTACACTTTCCTCGGGTTGGGTTTGGGTTTAGAGATACCCGACCCATGGGTACCCCGCACACACTTATTCCGTAGCCTACTCTCTTCAAACCCTACCCTAATTCTAATTTCTCCCAATCTAATTTACAATTTGTATGATAATTTTTAATTTGTTTGAATTTTCTAGATTGATATTTTATGTATTGATAATTTGTATGGAGAAATTGATGTTTGACTTTTATTTTGATAGGAACTTGTGATTGTAAATTTCTTATCACAAAAACCCATGGGTCATGGGTACCATAAACCCGCGGATATCCAAGGGGTTGGATTGGGTTTGAGTTTTCTAAATTCATTGGGTTTTACCCCAATTTTTTTTTATGGATAAACCCATGAGTTTGGGTTTGACAAAACCTGATCCATTGCCATCCCTAGACTCAACATCCTGAATCTAAAATTTGAGACATTTTCTTCCTAATTCCAAACTGTAATTTTCAGCTAAATGTGCGCTTTAAGGCTTTGCACTCAAAGAGCAAGTGAAAGAAAGAGGAGATGGAATGGGAAGTGTAAGAGGAAGATGGGTCAAAGTTGTGGATTTGGATGACCATGGGATTAGAGTTACTCCCTTATCTATGCAGACGAAGTGCACATGCTAGAAAAGAAAAGAGTTTTTAGTGAAAATCCCAACCCACCACCATGCTGAACTCCTGCATGCGATCTCCTGATATGATGAAGTTGAACGATAACATATAAACCACAAAAATCTCCAAGTCACCACCTCCAAGGATTCATGCAAGTGGATTCGATAGGGATCTTCTTTAAGGTTGCGAAACCCAACTCCAACTACTTTGAATTCGGCATGCAAAGACCCAAACATTGCCATCGCCTGCTATTCGTCTCGCTCTTCCATTTTTGGAATTATAATTAAGGACAAATAGATAGAATGGGCATCAAGATTTTTCTCTTTCTGGAGTTTTGTTTATTATAAGACCGTGAAAAAATAGTGACCTAAGAGCATCCACATTGGTATTGCATTTTCAATTGCAAAATGACATGACATAGGTGTTTGCAATTGCAAAACCAATTGCATTGATGTGGGTACCAATTGCATATATGCAAACTTGCAACAAATGCAATTGCATATGCAAGTCATAAAAGCCTAAAAAAAATTGGGACTTTTTATTTTATATTTTTTTCTTTTCTCTTTTTCTTAATTTTCTATAATTTAAATATAATATTTAATTACATTTGCAATTGCAATTGCAAGTTAGTTGCATTGATGTAGGTGATTGAAATGAATGTGATGTGAATTGAAAAAAATTGAGTTAACTATAAAAAAAACACAAATACAGTTTTGTTTTTGCAATTGCATTGATGGAGATGCTCTTTGGGAACTAAAACTTAAAGATCGTTGTAGTAACAAATAAGTACAAGTGGTTGGGTACCATCTGTTGCATGAAATGAAGTTTACAAGAAAATTATATGGACTTAATGGCAAGCTGGGAGTTACTGCTTTGAGTTAAAAGCTATTTATTAAAAGTTTCATTATATTTTATGAGGCGACTATCTCAGTGTGTGTCGGCCAAATGAAAAATAAAACAAACACATCCACTACGGGACAGAAATTCAAGCTTAGTATGTTAGTTTTCACTACTTGGTGATTGACATGGAGGGAATTATATTATCTAAACGCGTAAGTTATTTAATTTTATAGGAATTGCGATATTGCTTGGTGCATGGGAATAGTCGAATATTTAGATAAAATACATACGTACGCGTATAATTGGATGAGTTCTAATTAGATATTGTAAAAATCATGTCCACCTATTACATGTAATATTGGAATTCAGATTTTATCCGTACCCACTGGAAATTCTTCGGAGTCGAGTTTTACGGATCCAATTAGGTTAAATTCGGACAGATATCCATGGTTGTGGATATTTTTACGCGAGCGAGACTATGATGTATTTTTTTTCCCAAGAAATGTCAAGAGAGAACCTATACAACCTACCAAGACCCTGCCCAACCCAATACATCAGTGAAGCCAACCAACAAAGTCAAAGGCGCACAACTCTAGAGGGGAGAGTAACAGGGCTTTCTGCGCCACTCTATGGGCAGCCCTGTTAGCAGTCCGGGGAACTGCCCTAAACTCTAAGGAAACAGAAACAGAGGACAGGAGAATGAAGCAATCCCGAAGCACCGGACCTCCAAGGGAATCTGAGGAAACACCTTGATGAAGCTGACGAATCACCACCTCTGAATCTCCTTCAATGATGACCCGTGGAAGAGACTTGGAGACCAAAAGGAAGATGGCGTCTCTAGCAGCAAGGAGTTCTGCGAGGTAAGGATCAACAATACCGGGGTGAAGAAAACCTACCGCCAGAGCCACATGCCCGTCTGAACTCCGCACCACTAGACCAGACGAGCACCCAGAAGGTCGAACAGCAACATCAAAGTTGATCTTCAGAAATCCATCAGGCGGAGGGAACCAGGGAGAGCGGCGAGGGCAGGAGGGCTGGGGAGGAGGAGCAGGGACCAAAGGTAGGGAGGATGACAGTTCACGAACTTGGAAAAAACATTGACGAGCGAGAGACTGGGCATGAGGTTGGACATGCTCAAAGACCACCTTAATTCTAGACTTCCAGATCCTCCACAATACACAAACGTATAGGAGGATATGGGTTTGGGGGGTGCTTAGAGAGCATAACATGTCGCCACCAGAGACTGAAGTTCACAGTCGGGGCCGAGGAGATGAAGTCATTTAGGCTCATAAGCGACCACATTCTTGTGGCCAAGGGGCATTTGAAAAACAGATGTTCAATACTTTTCGGGCTTCTCCAACAAACAGGGCAACGGACATGACAATTTACTCCTCTAGACTTGAGTGCTACTACTGTTGGTAATATCACTCTAAGGCACTGCCAGATAAAGAATTTCAGCTTCAGAGGGGTTAGAATATCCCATGTTTTCTTCCAGATAGGAGGATCAATGATTTGGACTAGAGGTTTTCGGCTGGCGGCTAAGGAAAGCTCAAGAGCTAGATGATATCCCGTTTTGACTGTATATAAACCATTTTTTGTGTAATGCCAAACTCTCGTATCTCTTTGTTGACATCTAGGGAGTGGGGTTTTACATATAAGGTTAACTGTTAAAGGATCAAAACAATATTGTAGCCTTGGAACATGCCACTCACCTCTATTTTCCTTGATGAAAAAGGAAACTCTCGGGGAATTAGTTATGTTCAAGAGGCGGACCAACGGGGTGATGGGTTTGTCTGCAATAACCCACTTATCTTTGAAGGCAACAATGTCTTGCCCATCTCCAACTTGCCATCTTAACCCTTGGACAAGGAGATCTCTTCCAAACAGTATGCCACGCCATCCCCATGAAGGGTTCGAGCCTAGATTAGCATCCAACACTGATCCGTGCTGAAAGTACCGACCTTTATATATGGAGGCCAGGAGAGAATCCGGATTTTTCCAGATTCGCCAACATAGTTTTGCTAACAAGGCCTGGTTAAAAGCCCCAAAGTCCCTGAATCCTAGACCACCAAGAAATTTACTGTGCGCCAAACTTTTCCAGGATACCCAATGTATTGGGCGATCAGCATTATCTATCCCCACCAGAATCTAGCCACGTGACTATTTAGCCTCTTGCAATTCTCTTTAGGGATCTTGAAGCACGACAATCCATGAACAGGTAGATTGGTGGCTGCTGTCCTAATCAAAATGTCTTTTCTGGCTTTAGACAGAGTTCGCTGTTTCCATCCTTGTAATTTTTTAATGAGCTTCTCTTCTATGAATTGGAAGGCCTCTCTTTTTTATCTAGATATAATTGATGGGAGTCCCAAGTAATAATCTTGTTCTCCAATGCTGCCCACGCCTAAAAGTCCTCCTAGCTCCGCAGCTAGGTCTGGGTTCATATTACGACTAAATAGTACTGCTGACTTTTGTAGGTTGACC